ATCCCCGTCGTATGCATACATTGATTTATTTTGCTTAAACTTGAACCCTTTGGGTATGTCAAAATTGTTTTTGTACATAAACTTATTAATTTCTTTAGGCTGTAAGCAGATGATGAGAAGCGAACGAAGTAAATGATGGTACCATTTTATTCTTCACAAGCTGTTGTTTTTGCTTTATTCAAATTTATTAATGGGGAATAAATGTATGAAACTAGTTGTTATTCGACTTGAGACAATATTTATAATCTGTCCTTGTCAGTTTATTTTGTCTGTGTCGCCAAAGTAGTTTTTGACCAAATCATATTTTATCTCCTACATCAGTCAGTTTAGAAACTTAGGGATTTTTCGAATGACACTGAATGTTCTGAATTGACCAGATGTTCCGTCACTGAATATATATATATATATATATATATATATATATATATATATATATATATATTCAGCGCTATTCGAAGAATCCTTCAAAATAATATACAAGATTCGATCAAACTTTAGTAGATTGTAGTTACTCACATTTCATCGAATGCATAGATTCTTTCATTCCACCTTTTCTGGACAAGTAAATTAAAAGTAGGAAAGGTATGCGGCTAATTTAAGCCACAAATACAAATGTTCATATATCTCGTCTTAAAAAAGTCTACAAGCATATTTCAATAATGTGATACGAACACTTTTTGCAGTAGGTGTTTCTGCACATAGTGTTCTTATCGCATTATTCGAATTTTTCAAGGGAACTATTTGTATGAAACTGTGTTTCGCGTTAATTGCTTTTGTATATTCTATGTTTATTGAATTCCTATAGATTCTGTTTCTTTCATTTCCCTATCTTTTACTGCCATACTTAACTAAAATGTGTTTTGGGTCATATATATGAGTAGGTATCAGTTTAAATAAATGCCTATCGACATCTAGTTGGCAGGGAAACTGGTTCACTTAGGGCTATGAGTCACACTTAATTGTTTGACAGCTGATGATACTACTCAGACTGATATTTGATTTGTACTACCTTTCACTACGTTTTATTTTTACTGCTACTCATAAAAATTTTCTGTAGAATGTAGATAGCTAATTTCCTAGGTATCTAATGAAACCCTAGGTACTGAGTATTTCTTTAGAGATTGGTGAGTCTTCTTTCCGGTAAACATGTCGACAATATCATCGGAAAACGGTGAAATAGATACTAGTCCCCCTATTTTTGTATGATTTGTATTCACTGTTTAGCTTACATTACCAAGTGATCAGTGTTTACGTTGTGTGGCGTCACTGGTCATATTCACCACAGAGGATTTTATGTATAACACCTGGAAGATTTCACTGGATCTCGTTGTGTTTCTTTCTACGATTATTACATTAGTAATAATACAGCTTTAATGTGTTTGTGGACGATTTTCTTCGAGATTTGTTGTTTCTGCGTTATCGAATGAATACAATACAAAATATTCTATCGTTAACATATGTGGAAGAAAAAAATAAGTGTTTCTCGTTTTGGGGTAGGTCAGTCATACCTATAAACCCATTTAGATGAGAAAGTATGTAAGTTACCATAGTTTCTGTCTACTTTGGTATAAAAATCTGTCAGCTGAACGTTTGTCCAGAGGTTTTGAACACATATATCAAGGCTGCAGTTGACGAAGAAATGCGAAACCGCAACAAAATATTATCACATAATAACTGCCTTCTAAAATCCATTAATTTCTATATAGAAGCAACAAAAAAGTCCCCACCAATTTTATCAGCTTCACAGTAGGATGTTTAAATAACTTCGCCTTTTTAAGGATGTTCGCTAAAATCTGATCACCAAAGTAAAGACTCAGAGCGGTACTTTATAGGAACTACTATGCAGTTGGGTTGAATTTTGTAGAGAAAGCACTAAAAGTATTTGAAGGATAGTGTTACATCCCTCCGTATGTATGTGTAGTCACACATACATGTGAGAGGACCCATCGGTCTCTGCAGGTTAGGACTACAGAACACATTCTTGAGTAGTAGCTGCCAGAATCGATGAAATCTATTAACTCAGTTGATACTGGAAACAGATCTATTGTAACACTTGTGTAGGTCACGTGCTTAATTTCATTGAAGTCCTATCCCTAGAAGAAAAGGTTTAATTAATTCTGTTTCATGCCTTCAAAAAAAAGATTTGTTTTTGTCACAATGAACTTGTCTCAGTAATCTAATCTTAAAACTTGTTTTCGTAACTATCTATCTATGATTTCGACCCCTAAATAAACATTTAGACTTTTTGTGTTTTGTTGACTTTTACATAAATATTTAATTTACAAGAACAAGTGTGATTTGAATGTTCAAAATGTGTTGCATTACACGTGTTTTAGACAACATTCATTTTTCTAGCCAGTGATTTGGTTTATTTGTTGTTGTTGTTTTTTTGAATCACGTTTTTTTTGACAAAAATTGTCGCTTCGATTTTATTTTGAGTGTTGATTCTCTGTGAAACAAGAAAAAAAGCATTCTAAAGTTCCTTGTCTGCTTTATCAAGTTCTTAGATTCTTCGATTTCTCTTCATCTCTAGGCGTAAAGGTTTGGTCTCAAGTATGTTTATATGTTCATTTCTAGCGTTAAAAACATAACATATCTCTAGCTACTTGACACATATAAACTCACTATTCGGGGGAATACAATTCACATTTGAATATGAAAATGAAAATTAGCTATGATTGGTTGTAGAATAAAACTAATAGAAGGTAAACTGCACACTAGCGTTTATAAAAAAAACCAACACATTCTAACAGATATTTAGACTTAGATATTTATCCATCTCATCCGTTGACTGTTAAGGCAGGCTTAGTTAAGTGTCTAACAAACCGAGCAGCAGCACTGTTGTACAACAAAAAACCTAAACGATGAAATAAAACAGATAGAAGAAGCGTTGGTGTTAAATACCTGTCCTATAAAATTCATTAGGAAGATCAGAAAAGGTCAAAAGCAAAATAAAAATAATGGTAAAACCAATATTGATAACATAAATCAGAAAGAATATAAGACATTTACAGTTCTATCATATAAGGAGTGGGACATCTGAGACCCCACGAAGGATTCTTAATAAAGCAGGAATTAGGGTGGCATTCAAACCTGCAAACACAGTCAGACAGGACATCATATGTAGGCTAAAGGACCCGGTAACCCAATTAAACAAAATAATATAATTTAGAAAATACCCTGCAATGACTATGACGTCAACTACATAGCTCAAACCAGTAAATTGTTAGATTGTTGGAAGATAAGAAATTAACTGATTGCAGAATGACTGACCCCACCAAGATAATTTTAAAAAATAACTCAGCCATCTCACTGCATGCATTAACACACAACCACACAATGGTGTGGGTGGGATAGAGTCCAAATTCTAACAAGTAATATAGGTAGGTAGAGATAGATAGAGAGAGAGAGATTACTAAATCCTGGTCCATCGAGTCTACACCGAACATATGCAATAGAAGTGACTCAACGCAAATACCAGAGATATGGAAGATATTATTACCGCCGGTCAAATCAGAGGATAATAAGTAATGTTAAAATGTGTTCAATTCACATCGTAACATTCTAACAAGTTACTTATTTTTATTATAAAAACATCTTTCCCATCTGATTGTATTTTATTGATGATACTAATATTCATTCCGAATGTACTTTATCTTATATTGATTAAATGATTAGAAATATCTAGGTATGTGGATATTGGTTCATAAAATATCGGTGGAAGAATGGTTTGAAGAAAAAAAACAGTTCAGTCAAAGTTTGTACCAAAGGCATTTTTCGCCCTATTGATTAACATGTACAGCGATAGTTGGTTCACTGATGCTATATTTACCGCATTTACACCTAGCAAATAATGAGAAGGCGTTTAAAGTGCGTTAGACATTGTTTAAATAAAATTAAAAATGAAAACATTGACAACTTACAGCGACACTTAAAAATTACCTCAGAAGGCCTTGAGTTGCCTACCACTAAAGCTTGTTAGATTGTTGATTCCAAAGTTTTTGGACGGGTTATCGATGTTTGGATTTCGGATCATCCCACCCTATGTCATGAAAAGTAGGATTGGTGAAATGTTTTGAGTAAACAGGGCACAAAACTTAGTAGTATGTATCGACGAAAATCTAAGACAAGAAGTTAGGTATATACGAGAAGTTTTGAAACTTAATAAATACTCTGATATTAATCAGGCAGTATGTAGGAAAATGTAAAAAAAGATTAATATTAATAGTAGTGATAGTGATAATAATATTAATAACGACATACATGTCAAGCATGCACAGAATAATGATAACACCAACAGTGGGAAATTTAAGTTACAAAGAACGAACCTCGGAAGCCTTACGGAGAATTCTAAACAATACAGGCGGGAATAAAAGTGGCCGGCATTCAAACCAACCACAAACTCAATTAGAAACAGGCTTCGTCGGTTAAAGGATCCTGTGGAACCAATTAAACAAAACAGTTTAGTTTATCTAATACCCTGCAATGATTTCCAGGTCAAATTAGTAGAATGGGGTAAGTCAGACTAGCGGAGCACAAAAACCTAGCACAATCTAGATTGGTCAGCCCTAATTAGATAAGAAATCCGGATAACAGTTCAGCTGAAGCTCTACATGCAATTACACACAATCATACAATATAGGTTGGGATAATATGACAGTTTTAAAAGCTAATGTAAAATGGTGGAAGGAGAGATTGGTAACCGAAGTTTTATTTATCGAATCAATTGCAAAGACGTGTAATAGGAATGATTCAATACCTGACCCAGACATGTGGAAAATCCTACTACCCTACAACAAGTATGAAAGAATACAGAAAACTGCAGAACTCAAGTTTCGAAGTCGCGTGATTACAGTTGACATGGTTATGAACAAGAATAAATTGTGTTCGAAGCTGTTATTCAGTAAATAATACTGTTTCACTGTGTGATATATCTAATAAACAAATTAATATGGAATTACAGCTAATTGTCTTATTTACTTTATTTTCAACTATTCTAGGCGCTGGTCATGGTCTTATAGGAATCCTGTTCAGTCTCATGCTCTTCCCTGGCTACATGAAATCCAAACCTGATGCTGAGAAACTTATATGTGATTCTTTATTTTATCTTATGCAAATAACTCCATCGGAGACAGGTAATCTTCCTGCAGCTACTGATGAACTTGGTCGAAACGCAAAATCTTTAGAGCCAAATGTGCTAGTCCATTGGTGTCATGGGGCTACAGGTACAATTTTTTCATCCTTGCTTCGCAATACTTTGATACAAATTCAAGTCTTTTTTATTTTATATCTTCAATGTTTCATTGATTAAAAAAAATACTCTTTAATCCTTATGGAAGCATAATTCACCATTCAATAGTTAGATTTATCATCCGTATTCTATAACTCTCGAAGCATATGACATACTCCTAGTGAAAATCACTTTGCAGTCACACAGTCTTATCGGTGCCTGTATTAACAGTTATGACCAGTGCCTACGTTCCTGTCGAGTTTTCAGTTTTTATATGCCAATTAAATCGAATGAATGTAGGTCAGAATAACGTATCATCTACGTCTGTAGAAGGGGAAGATATTCTTTTATCTTTCCTAGATATATTGCTTGGTCGACGACCTGATGTATCAGTTAGACGATCTATTTATAGAAAACCTAACTGGACAGAACAGTATCTTAATTATCATAGTTTTTGTCCTGTTCTATGCATAAGAGCCTTAGTGAGGTGCCTCTTCAGTAAAATCCAACGAATATGTACTGAAGATACACTTGATGAGGAAGGAAGAAAATTGACCTAAACTCAAGTTTACTATGAGATATAAAGTAGTCAGAACACCAAGACCCATTCTGCAACTCGCCACTAAGAAAAACGTGTATATTAACCCACCCTTTATGGGTGATCATAGCAGCTTGGCAATTCAACAAAGACTGAATGCTACGGTTAGAAAGACTTTTTATGCAGAATAATTGAGAATGTGAAGCCAATATATCCATCTAAGCCCTTTGAATATGGGAAAAATGATATAAAATCCCACTGTATTTACCAGTTTAGATGTACGTGTGGACACTTTTAGGAGGGACTCATCGACCTTTGCAAGTAAGGCCTTCAGAAGCAAGGTGAATCTTCCGAACCAATTAATGGTGAAAACAGACGATCTAGCTCCTCTATTGCGAAACATATTTTATAAACTGAACATAAAATTGATGTTAACACGTCTTTTGTACCCATCTATAAAACGTGTTTGGGGCGTCTCCTAAAGTTTGTGGAAGCCCTTGCAATTAGGAAGTTCAAACCACCTTTATGCGTTTGAAAACAATTCATTATCACACTAAACCTTCTTTTGTAAACTTTGTTTTGATACCAGGGTAGATGTACTTTTACTTGTTATTTGGTTTCGTGGTCTTCATTGTTATTTTGACCTTCAATAAGTCCTTTTAACTTGACCTAAATTTACTTTTGCACCTCTTAACTCTTTATTAATTTCATATATATATTCCTATGACAAGTCCGTGTTTGGTCAGATTGTTCGAAATGTGGTGCACGAATACATTACACGATTCAGAAAAATTAGGTCTTCTCATTGTTTTGTTTAAAATATTAGATTTGATATTATCTCCGTGCAGTTTACTAGCCTGTCCTAATCTCGGGAAAGATGAAAGGCTGGAAAGGGACTGGAAACCTTACTCCGAAAAACAATCCAATGGCTATTAATTTTCCAGAGAAAATAAATTTTCCACTTCCCTCTGAAGTCGTTTATTCCACTTGAAACTCATGGAGCGAGTAGTGATGATAATAATATGAAATAGTATATCTATATTTTCTTACTCTATAGTAAGATTAACTACTATGACAAAAGGAATTACTTCTGTTGAATTTCCCTACTTAGGGAGTCATAAGCTCAAACTCTGTTTCACGATTTTTTGGTAAAATATCATATAAACTGAATGGAAGGAAAACAAATAAGCATAACGTAAGCATTTAGTAAAGGTGTACAATGGCTGTTAATCTGCACATATTACCACACAACTTCTAATATTTATGCTCAGATTTCAATAGATAAGGTTGGGTAGCTCTGTTATCACTATCCTTAAATTTTGAACCAACATCTCTGCGTGTTGTGAAACTAAGTTCAAGACCGTTACTATAGTAACCTATTGCCTGATTGGCAAGACAGTAATTTATATGAGGAAAAAGCTTTATTTCACAGGTGTTGTTTGTTTGACCAACTAGCGTTGTCATTATTTAATCTACTGACCTGAATTTTTTTTTCGTCAATACAAGTCTTCGTTTAAGTTGTCTACAACAAAACTGTTTATCATAGAAATAAATCGATAGTTTTTATTATTACTTGGTAAAATTTTTCTAATTCGTATTAACTTATGGTGCAGAATCACTCATTGAAGTGTTATACATTAGTTTTACCTAAAATTCGACTATCTGAAAGAATCTCCAGTTAATTTGATCTAATTTAACCTATTCCAAACAACTAGTTATGCTTTTGAACATGGTTAGACTTTTGGAGATAGCTAATGGAATTAATCCTGTTCAACTGATGTACATAAAAGTGAATTTGTTCATCATTTCTGCATTATATCATCCTGAATATACGTTGGTGGTACAGTGGTAGAAGTGCTGGTCAACCATGCACGTGGTCCGGGGTTCGAGTCCAGACCAGTACACACCTTAACCTTCCTTAGCCGGAAGGGAAGGTTGGGCGTGAGGATAGCAACCCTACTGCTATTCGAACTTCAAAGCTCTAGCCTGAAGCTTTGTGTTCCACTCGGAACGCAAAGGAATAAAATCAATCAACCTGAATACTTTTATTATCACAAATCATGTGTTTTCCCCACTTATTAATAAAGTTAGGTAACACATTCAGTCTGATTTAAAACTACACATAATTTTGTAAGGTCTGGAAAAAGTGCTATTGTTTATCTACTTTATAATGATGATTATCTCAACGTGTTTTGGCCACCTTATCAAACTTCATAAATGTAACTTTTTTTGACATCTTTTAGGAGCCGTATTTGCGTATGCGCGAGCATATATCCTGTGGAGAGATGAACGATTTTTGGCAGAATGTCGACGATGCGCAAATGTTGTATGGGAAAGAGGTTTATTAAAAAAAGGTCCAGGTATGTGAGATAATACATCCTTTTTGATACTAAGCACCAGAATATAGCTCTTAGGCCAGGTTTTATAATATAACTAGAAGTCTTGGCTACAAGTAGTATCTACAACCTAGAATTCGAATTTCAGTTACACAGTTGTCAAAGCCAAATGTTTTGCCTATCGATCATTTTAACAATCGAATAACTATCTCTTATAATGAGTGATATATTTGTGTCTGTCATCATCAAGTTTGCCTCGTTAGCGCTTATTTAAGGTTAAATCAACGCCATACACATATGTGTATACAAGCTTAATATCACTAATGTACTTGATCCAAGATCTGAATGGTTTTCATTTGTATCCAGACGATATAGTGCTAATCAACTAAGTTTTTTTATCTCAGCAAGAGTTTATTTCACCACTGACACTTAAGAAGTTCAACATAATTACCTCACTTCATTAACCCAAGCTTTACATATAAAGTAAAATGAATCATTCATTGATATCCTATTTTGCATAGAATAAATTTACCTCCTAGATTGCTTTGATGATTTCACTATTAGTACTGGAACTATCATAATGCCATTCCAAGTCGAAAGACTGTAAGTGTCTAACGAGCAAGTCAGCTATTGTATAATTCTACAATACCCTATTTAGCTCGCATTTTATGTGATGAAGACACTGTTAGACGTGAATCATATAAGTTACTGTGTAATTAGCAAAGTGAACCGACCCTTTCATCGTTCATCTTTCTGTAATTTTATGGTGTCTGCCTTTCCATCGTTAAATTATAACTTAGCGATTTAATTTAGTTGTTATTACTATTATTACTACAATTTTATACTTTATGCATTTTTTCTCCTTATCGCATACTGTAATTGCTACATAGCTGTTATAACAACGTTTTGTTATTATTATGTAATGTTTATATTTTGTCGTTGTGAGTAAATTAGATGCAATATTGTAGTGAATGCTGAAAATTCCTTGCTGTATCATTAGTATTGTTTTTCGAATTTTTTTTTGTAATGACAGCTTGATTCCACACTGTATTTTTGGTACAAGTATGGAATTTTCAGCATGGATATCGGTAGCCCAAATTTGCAGGCCGACCATAGATATCGGGTGTGCGTCCTCAGGGGATCGAACCCAGGACCATGTGCATGGTCGGCGAGAGTCCTAACCGCTGTGCCACCGACGCACAAAAATTACTATTATCCCTTTTTTTATTGACAGACAATTCATAAATTCTTCGGTCAAAGTTTCCACTTTGTTCCAATTGGGTTAGTTAGTGTTTCTAGTCCTTGTGCGATTCATTTTCATGCCTTTTAGTAAGCATTAAGTTCTTTCTAGCGCGTGCGTGTGTTACGCTATCAATGAATACTCATAATTTATATTTCTTAAACGGCTGTGTACATTTAAAGGCTTCTTCCATTCTCAAGTTATTAACGAAAAAAGGATAAAAAATAACCATTTAATGTGTTAATAGTCCAGAAGATTGCTTCAATCCTATTAACATTGAACAAAAACCCTCTTTCTTTTAAATAAAAAAAACAGATGTTTCTGTAATGCAGAGAGTTTTCACTTTCCAACTATGACAATGTAAAGCTTGACTGTTTATTGTAGTGTTCTTTGATTCAGCAACAGCAAACCGATAGTTGCGGCATTGATAAAATCATCACTTGGGTGTATAAATACTTGGAGTAAACACAGTCCTAATGTCATCTAACTTGATAAAATAACGCATTGAAAGAAGTTACATGACATTGAAAACAATTCCTAAAGAGGTCCGAATTATGAAAGAAGTGAATTAATATTTGAAATATCTTTTGGAAAATTATGAATATTATAGATATATTAATTTTGTTTTATACTGACTTTTATTTCAGGCATTTGTCATGGAGTTGCTGGTGGTGGTTATGTATTTCTTTTGTTATATCGTCTAACCGGTGAGACTGTATACTTACACCGTGCCACAGCATTTGCACATTTTATGGAGTCGGATGCTTTCAGAACTGCACGTTGTCCTGACTGTCCATATTCTTTATTTGAAGGGTTAGCTGGTACTGCATGCTTCTATGCTGATCTTCACAATCCATCAAAGTCTGCTTTTCCATTTATGGATCCATTTTGGGATATAGAAGGATATGTGTCTTTAAGTCAAGCTTCTACGTCATCGTAATGCTTTCGTTTCCTTCTTGTGCGTATGTGTGTCATGCATACGATAAATTTATTTTTAAAAAATATATCGATCATTAAGCAATGGTTTTCGATATGGAATTTTCTAGTCAAACCGGTAAATTGTGTTGGTCACTTATGCTGTAAGCTGGCAGTGATTGTCTGATGTTGGGCAATAAATAATGCAGCAGGCAGTTTTGTCATTGTGTACATGTCGACTTGCAGTGAAAATAAGTCTGCATAGAAACTACTTTTCAAGTATCTGAATTCACTCCTGTCTCAATGTGTCCTATGCATAAAGTCAAATTTCAGGAATGTGTACTTCTATATTAGATTAGTTTACTGAAAATAGATGACCTGTGAAGATACTTTATTTATCTTCTAGTGTTTACAGCGTAGTCTGTCGTTTAGATATGCAACAATGCATGTAGAATCAACATCTAACCGGTGACGCAATACTTTTACGGTATATGTGAAAAATGCTTTTATGAATTGAATCAAGTGACAAGTAAGAGAATTGTAAAAAAATAAGCAATGTCAGTAGACTGACATAGTTATAAGCAATAGATAGTACTCCGAAAGTCTTGGAATAAATATCACGCGGTTATTGTATGATGCGTCAAGTATATTTTCCGTGTTTCATTGAGATGTGACCTTCATAAATGTAGTACATCGCATTTCGTTTCTCTCACAGAAATGTATCAAGTATAAACTATAGAGGCTTCAAGGGTTTCCAGCTTAAACCTAAATGATGCTATAGAAACGTATATATATATATATATATATATATGCAGTGATACTGAGCTACTGTTATATTCGGCATAAAGAAATCTCATTCTAGTAACATTATCCAAAACGCTAACAACGAGTAAAGAAATTGCATAATCATTTGTAACGCTTCTGCTGGTTGAAAACTTTGCAGATATTTCCCACGAATATATCTGTGCCATTTTTAGACACTGCTTACCCGTGACAGTTTCAGTGTAACACTTTACTCATTTATAAAAGCTTTACGTGACAGCTGGAAGAAACCGCCCTTCCCCGCACTGAGTAATTAAGGTGAAAAGCGGCTTGGCAAGTCAGCCGGTGAGCTACCGACTCGAAATTTCATCGCTAATCACAAGGAGATACAATTATAGGTTTGCGTGCTATTACCAAGGTCATATCGAGGACAGTAGCAGTATATTCGTGAAAAATGAAGCTTTTTGATGTAGGTCAGAATTCTTTACAAACGTTCTTACCGTGTTTCATCATGAGAAATGTCTAGATTATGTTTTTCTTTTCATGGAGTACCAAGCACTGTCCACACTTACAATCAAATAGTGCTGATCAAAGAAGGCTATTCACTGGAAAAACTGTGTTCGTGAGATTTCATGAAACCTTTAGAGCGAGGTATCAGATTCAGATGATAAGGATAGAAGGCTCTTGTGGCCTGTGTTAATCCTTGCAAAGTATATCTCTGCAGAGATCTAACTTCTCTTTGAAAGCGTTCACCGATGGAGCTGATACTACTGAATCAGGTAAGGAGTTCCAATCGTTGACCACTCTGTGAGAGAATCTAAATTCTGCACGTATTTTAATCGTCCTTGGTTTGAGCACCTTTTTGCGGTGACCCCGTAAATGTATCCTAGAAGGGGAGAAAAGGTTAGAAAGGTCAGTTCCTAAATCACCCTTAAGTATACGGTATGCTAAAATTAAGTCGCCTCTCTTCCTTCGGTATGATAACGGGAAGAGATTTAAATGCTCCATCCTCTTATCATAAGGAAGGTGTGAGATACCACTAACTAATTTTGTTCCTACTCTCTGTACTCTTTCCAGAATATGTGCCTCCTTTTTGAAGCATGGACTCGTCGCTTGTATGCAGTATTCTAGATGAGGCCTGACATATGTTGCGTAGAGTATTTGGAACATGCCCTCGTCTAATCGTTTGAAAGCCCTTCGAATTGCCCATAGCATTCGAAAAGCTTTAGCTGCATTGCAATTTGCAGTTGTTTTCAAATCATTGCTGACAATGATTCCTAGGTCCTTCTGTTCGTTAACATCAGGTAGTTCTGCATCCCCTAGGGAGTACGACGTATAAGACTTCTGACCTAAGTGCATTACCGCGCTTTTCCTAGCATTCATTTCCAAACTCCATAGGCTTGACCACTCAGCTAATTTATCTAAATCAGTTTGTAGGGCCGACCTATCCTCGTTATTGTTTACAGTTTTCCATATCTTAATGTCATCTGCAAATAATAATGAAGATGAAGAAAGAATCCCTGGTAATTCGTTAACGTATAATAGGAATAGCAATGGACCTAATACAGTTCCCTGGGGCACTCCACTGGATACTGCTTTCCATCCTGATAGTACACCGTTAACTCTAACCTTCTGCCTTCTATCCATTAAGTAATCTCTAAACCACTCACATAGGCATTGGTCTAGTCCGAAACCTTTCAGTTTACTAAGGAGACCTAAGTGGGATACTTTGTCGAACGCCTTGCTAAGATCAATAAAAACCACGTCCAACAGATGGTCCCTATCTCTGGCCTCAACCCAGTCTTCCCTAGCCAATAGTAGGTTTGTCAAGCAGGATCGTCCTGGTCGGAATCCATGCTGTTCCACAGCCAACAAGCCATGTGTTTCAACATAAGCTAATAGTTGATCCCTTATAATAGTTTCCAATACCTTTGCAATAATGCATGTCAGACTTACCGGCCTGTAGTTAGATACCAATTGCCTATCCCCGTCCTTGAAGATAGGGCTTATAATGGCATCCTTCCAGTCCCTGGGTAGCTTAGCCTGCGTCAGAGACATTTGGAAAATCTCCGTAAGCGGAATATATATTATATCCGCCAAGGAAATTAACAACTTAGGGTGAGTCCATCCGGCCCAGGTGATTTACCTGGCTTCAGTTTAGACAGTAGTTTGAGAACCTTTGTGTGCTCTACCACAATTGAGGGCATCTGAGTGGCGATGGCAGTGACCTCGCCATATCCCTGGGTGGTACTATCAGACGTCACAGAAGTATTCAGAGAGGTTTTCAGCCTTCCTTCGTCTGACTCAGCCGCTTCTCCACTAATGGTTATGAGTGACGGTATACCACTGCTAGTTTTAGTCCTACGTTTAATATACGAGTAAAACCTTTTTGGGTAATGAACGCAATCTAGTACTAATCGTCTCTCGTACTCTATACGACTCTTGTTAATCGCATACTTACAGAGGTTTCGAATTTTGCGGTAGTCTTTCTGGAAGTTTTCCCTTCCTGTCATAACAAATTGGTCCCATAAGTTCTTTCGCCGTCTTAATAACCTCCTTATTTCACTAGTGATCCAAGGTGGTTCATGCGACGGCTTTCGAGGAGTGTACCAAGGTATAAAAGGTGAAGTGACACGATCTAGTGTATTCCTAAATCCTACCCAAGTTTCCTCGACTTGTATCAACTGACCAGTCAACAGCAGTTCCGGATTCCTTGTATATCCGCTTTCCAAATGTTTGGACGAGCAGATTTTGGCCTGTGCATGAGAGAATGAATCCTAAACGTAAAAGCAATGACTATGTGGTCACTGCTGCCAAGCGGGGAAGGCACCTAATGTTACCAACGTCCTCCTTCTGGTGTGTCAATACCAAGTCTAGAGTAGATGGATCATGTTCAGGGTGATACCGTGTTGGTGCATGCATATGTTGCACGAGTGCACATTCAAGCACTGTCAATGTGAGCTCCCTATTGAAACAGGTATACAAACTAGTGGAGTTTAATTCCCCCCAATTAATATGTGGAGCGTTAAAGTCGCCAACAATCAGACACCTATTTCTACTACCCCACGCCCTCAAGTGATTTAGAACGAAGTCATCAGCTTGGCTAGCAGGACTTCTGTAAATAACTCCGATCGTTAAAGTGCCTTTGTTTAAGTTAATGATGCAACTTGCGGCTTCACTGGTGCCGCTGTCATGAGCTTCTGACAACGTTGACCTGATCCCTATGTCATCCCGGATGTAAGAGCAACCCCCCACCTTTCCGACTACTTACTCTGTCTGCTCGTATGCAGATATACCCAGGTATGAGTGGAGTTAAGTCTACACCCACTAACAACCACGTCTCAGTGATAGCAATTACATCAGGTTGTAGTCTTTCAGATAACTCTCCTAATTCGGCGAGCTTATTCCTAAGACTACATGCGTTCGTATAGCACACCGAAACACCTACGTGTTCACCCGGCTTATGAAGAGAGGTCTCGGCAGCATCGGTTTCCGAGACCTCACCACCCGAAAACCCAATAGTTTGAGGTCCTTTCGCCTTTCTCTAGCCTGGCCTTTAGTTCAGCCACGGCTTCTCTTCTTTTGATTCTATCTTCCAAAGGCCAATCAGGCCTTATTTTTAGACTTTTGTCGTTGACTTTGAACGCGTTGTCGAGGATGGTCCTCCTCTCTGTTTCGTTCCCTAAAACTACCTTAAGTAGTCGTCGAGGAGTTCCTGTAGCATCAGGGTTTCGTTTTCCGATCCTGATGGCCTTTCGTACGTGTACTCCAGTTGTTTTTTCGGGAAGTATTTCCCGGATAATGGAGCTGATCGCCTTCAGATCATCTGCATGTCGGGCAGCTGGATCTGTATTCTTAGATTCCTCCAAATTCCAGATGATAACACTTTAACTACAGTCCGTGGGTTTCTGAGTTTGGTTGATACTAACAGCCGTCGAGACCTTGTTGGCTACTGTTTCTTTCCTAGTTTTATTTTGCTTCTTACAACAACAGCAGAATTTACTTCACAACGTTAAAAATCCCACTCTCCTTTTTCAAAGCGCGCGCTATCCACGCTATCACCATCATCTTTCCCACATATTCGGTGAACTTGTCAACCAGCTACCCACTGCTTTATTTCTCCTATATTCTGTGCAATTCATTTCTAAAATCTAGACGTGTCACATAGCAATGCGTCTGTTAATCTAATTGAGAAGATGAAGTCCCACTGCTAAGGGGAATAGTTAGTTATCACCTTCATTGCAAATAACACACATTAAAATGCTGTTTTTTATGTATATTATGTGAAATACTTTTTTGCACCTAAGTGCATTTTGGAAGAAACGTCAACTAAAGATACAACAGAAGAGATCATACGACTATATATATATATATATTGTGAATACATCCCAGAGTGAGCATCTAACACATCCATATACAGGATTTATAAGGGGGGGGAGGATAAGAAGTGAAAAGTAACCAAAAAAGATACAATATGCTATATTAATATAAGTTATTCAGGGTATGAAATTTAAAAAAAACTGATTGTGTATCTGAAATCCAAAATTGAGATCGGTTAACAGTCTTATTAATAAAACACAGTCAGCATTCTTTAATGCGCAGGAAGCTGCCTCTATGTATGCTGATGCAGAAATACGGCTGGGATTTTTACGATGACTAACATTACGCTTGTAATGACGACCCAAGAGATACATATTTTGTTGTTGTTGTTGTTGAAATTAACAGGTGTAAATGTCCGGATATACACACGTGAAAATTGAACAAAAACAACTGAGAATTAAATAAATAAGTAAATGGAACAATAAACGGTAGTAGGAGTAGGAGTAGTAGTGGTGGTGATAAGTATCAATTTCCATGTTATTTACAATAATGATGCTTTAATCATACATATTAATGAACAATAAATTAACTCACTAGTTAACAAATTATTATAAGTACAATAAGAACAAACAATCGTATTAATAAAAAGCATCAGAAGCATAAATTAACAGAATAAAGAGGCCATTGATATGGAGAATGATTTCTAATAAATAATTATTGGGTATATATATATATATATATATATATATATATATATATATATATATATATATGCAACTGTAATGACAGTAAGTAACACAACGGCAAAAACTTTACGAGGATATAAAAGATCTGTTCATGATGAAAACAAGGGATTAAATATCTATATATTAGAAATTAACTACTTAATGAAATAATTAATATTATCAAATCAAATATAAAACTTTGGTTCTTTAAAACAATCAATAATATTGATAGTCTAAAAAGGAAACTGTAACAGTAGTGGCGATGATATTATGATTTCAGACATAAAATATTGACAGAAGTCGTTGAAAAAAAAGAAGGAGGAAGAGGAGAACAAAATATAGACTAGATCTGCGCGTTTTCCTGGACAATGGTCAAACATAACCAACTAGGAAAGTGTATTTATTAAAGAGACAACCTGACAGAGGAATGTACAAACTGGATGGGAAGAAAAGCTGAAAGAGATCAAAACTTTTGGAAAGTATCAAAATGTTTTGGTGAGTGTTTCCAAGATTTGTTATTATTTGAAAGATCATCATTGGTTGAAGTGAGGTCTGTGAAACAAGAATTATTATTTATAGACATTATGTTTTCTGGTTTACTTGATGTACGCGAATTACCGTTGGTGTCATCGTGTCGTTTCTCATTAACATCATTGGTGAAAGTATCAGTTTCACCACTGGTACATCGGTTCCTGTATGAATTTGACAAAAGTGGTGTCGGCATTAGTTCCAACTCTACTAGAAGAGCAAAGTGATCAGATGGTATATGAACGTGTGGACAACCAAGTATTTTCTTTTCTTGAAACCATGGTTCACATATTTGATCCAGACTGCCCAAAAGTCGGAAGTGTTGTCGCGTAAAGAGAACATAATCTATCATCCCTTTGAAGTCATACCTAAATAAGAAACAGTTAGTGAAATCTTTAAAAGAAAAAAAAGAACGATGCGTCGTAATTACAAACTAAGGTGGGTTTTTCGTGAAAGGTGATGCTGTCATAAAATATTACTCAACCATTTACTTTACCATTATTATTATTATCTTAGCTGTATGTCACTATATCTTAGAAACTTTCGGCTTCGAATGTTTCACGACAGCTAGCAAGGAGACCTTATGTTCAAGAGAATTATTCCCCACTGAGAGGCTTGAACCCTCATCATTAAAAAGCTATGTGTGGAAAAGTAGGGTAACCAACCTCTTGTAGGAACAGACGTGGTTAAATATACTGTCAAGCTTTCTAAAGTGACTGATAGTTAAACCAAGTTACTTCACTTTAATGGATGTTGAGCAGTTGTAAGCTATGCACCTATTGAAATGACATTTTACAAAATCATTTCATTCATCTAATGGATACAGTATTAAACTCTTAAACAATGTCACTAGTTCATTTAATAAATGCACAGCATTAAGCGCTAAATCATATGCCGAACAGTATTCACTGTTCATAATCTGCAGTAGCAGACGATAGATAAATAAATAAATGGTCATGATCCAGTGACCGTCTTTTATTCAATAATTTATGGGTAAAGAATAAAAAAGTTATTTCACATTTAATATTTTAGCGAAAATAAATAAAATTAAATATTTAAGAAGTTAACCTTCATTATCAATTTAACTGTATGAATTACCCTCAATATGGAGAGTTTAAAGAGATTTACAGCTTAATAGTATTTGGACACACAATAGGAAACGAAATATACGCACGGATAGACAAAAGAAAGTGAAGAAAAAGTTTTAAAAAAACGTGATACTTACGTGAAATTTGTTAAACACATGCCCTCAGAATCCTGATAAGCACGATCAAAGGTGAAACGATGCCTTAGAGAATTGCCATCTATAGCCCACTTCTCTAAAAGTCTCCAATCTTTAAACATATACTTATAACCATTGTTGAGAAAATCACTGTGTGTCAATGATACACTACCTTTAGTAAGAAATTCTATTACTCCAGATTCAGGTAATGAATTGAGATCACCACACAATATAACAGGCATATTAATAGCTGGTGAAAAAGGACCCGGTAGGGCTATTTTAGATGACAGAGGAACAGAACGCGACAATGTTGGTGATAATTGTTTCGCGGCGCTTCTAGATGTTTTAAGAAATCTATCAATGTACGCCCATAATTCCGCCGTCCACAAAATCGTTTGAATCACCTTTACATCTGAGTGTTCAGGATCCCAATGAATGTGACCAGTTGTAACACAGAACTGACGTCCTCCAGTACCATCTGAAGTTAAATGAAAATGAATTATTGGTTATAAAACATAGGTTTAATATTCAAGTGTTGGTTTATAGGGATTTGACTGATTGGTTACAGGATTTCACCATGAGCTGACAATGGCTAGACGACCATTGGAAAACCTGGAAGTACTGGACAGCTGTTCCGTCCTAGTTCGGGACTCTTAATCAGAGCTCACCCACCGGGGTTCGAACCCAGAACCTTGTGGTTACGAGTCTCAGTGGCTTAATGGTGTACGAGCTCGCCTTGTAACCAGAAGATCCTGGGTTCGAACTCCCGAGGGTGCGTGTTGGTGGAGAGTCTCGAACTAGGACGAAACATCTCTCCAGTACTCCCAGGTTTTCTAACGGTTCTCTAACTGATGTCAACTCATGATGAAATCTTGTAACCAATAACTTTAGTTTAAACCGCAAAAGCAGCAATTCTATGAACAATTTATTATATTACACAACTTAAAGTACAAACCATTGGGAAAGTATCTGAATGAGAATGACATAGATATGAAAAAAAAAAGAGAATGACATACTTAAGTTTTTGGAATCATTATCGTACAGTAGAATATTAACTCAAGAGCAGACTTAAATGTTTCTATAACCGTCATTCAACTTATTTATCTTTTAAGAAAATGAAGAATTTATCCAATCTTTCTTTGATGTGAAGAATATATGAATGACAGTTTGTATAATCTAAATCGGCTATGACAGTTAAATTGCTAACAGCGACAACGGATGAGTGATGACACAGCACTTACTAACAACGATTCTAGTCGTAGCGACATACTTCGTCGCTATGTTCACCTAAGAACATAAATAATATATTTTTTTACATATTTGACAATATCATATATGGATTAGGAAATTTTTTGTGAGGTATTTTACTGAAGAAGGAGCTTCAGAGTTCTTGCTGGCCTGTAGCAGTAAATGTTGCTTGATAGCCATAACTAGACAGCAGATTGCAGATATATATATATATATCTGCTTTTTCATGATTCATGTTGTTATATGTCGTCTGTTGCATCAGACGTCGGTGGCACAGTGGTTAGGACTCTCGCCGACCATGCACATGGTCTGAGGTTCGATCCCCTGCCGGCGCACACCTGATATCAATGGTCGGCCTGCAAAATTTGGGCTACCGATATCCATGCTGAAAATTCCATACTTGTACCAAAAATACAGTGTGGAATCAAGCTGTAAATCAAAAACAAAATAAAAAATAAATAAGATATCCTTCGATCCACTCGCATCCTAGTGATGCTCAACCACAATGGTGTATTTCCAGGGGTGTGCTATATCATGTTGAATTTACCGGAAATGATGTATTAAGATGTTTTATTTCTTTTTATTACTTTACGTTCCCAGGGGAATATAGAACTTCCATACAGACCTTTGCATTCTTAGTAGCTGTGGCGTTTTTTTTTACTGGTTGGGGGTTTGTTAACCCCACATTCAACCTTCCCCTTTACCGGCGCCTTACTAATTTACTGGCTAAACTAGTTAAAGGAGTGCTTCGACCGGGGATCAAAACCCTGACCAAATGCGTTGTTGACGAGCATTCTACCACTGAATCACCGATACCCGATGTATTGAGAACAATTGTTATAGTCCATTATTCCAGCTGCTGTTGTCTTTATGAAGTCAACATTGAGAAGAGATTACGCGGTATGCGATGTGTTAGCAATGTCTTTCAAAATTAAAATGATACAAAACAATAACGAAATTAAGTTGCAGAAAAAGATAGATAACTTGGTAAAGAGAAACTCTGCATACCAAAAGCTCCCTTAGTTTCAAAAATAACGCCCACTGCAACATTATCACGTGCGCCAACACGATTCAGCATAGTTGGTGAAGGATTTTCACACATACTTGTGCACGAAAGCATAAATTCATGGTGAAATTCATGCAGCTTTTCAAACCTGATAAAAAAAGTATTTTAAAAAACAGATGTAACTGTAAGACAAGTTATTACTCACAATATAACCATACTGTCTCCGTTTGGCTAAAAAAAATGCAAATTATTTCCTATCAGTAATAATGGAGATTCACTGAGCTAAGTTCACTATTTCCATTAACTTTATCATTATGACGACACCAATATGAAGAACGATTCAGGTTAAACATAACAGTTATGCGACTACACGAGTGAGTCAGTGATTCAGCTGCAGGAGTGTTTACCGATCATGCACGTGGCTCGGGGTTTGAGTCCCGACCAGCGCACCCCTTCCCCCCCCCTCCCAATGGCCAGTTATAATCAAGACAAAGAGGGAAGTTTGGGCGTGAGGCTAGCAACTCCACTCCGTAAAAATAAAACACCACTGCTACTGAAATTTCAAAAGTCTAGTTTGACGCTATATGTTCCACCCGGAACGCAAAAGAATAAAAAAAACTACACAATAGTAAAATCTTGTATTACTTAAATTATTACTTCGTTCAACTGAATGAAAAGAAAAACTCGTAATAAAGAAGAAAAGTATCGATACGATAAATCATTTTCGATAGCTATGTAATCGTATTTACGTTCAAAAGAGAATTCATATTATAACAAACTGGATACTGATAATTGTGTTCTAGAAAAATGTTTCACGAATTATGAGGAATAATTTAGAATGGAATGTGTGTGTACATTCAGGTGGAGATCAAAAGTCGAAAGTCAGTATTACACAATAATAGTGCAAGAATGACCTACTCAGTCTGAATTAATAAAAGTCAGTGGAAATATGGTAGTGTTTAATAAATAAAATTCTGCATGGGGAATGCAATGTTACTGAAAAATAATGGTTATTAGTAATAAAATATTAGTGGTAAGGATGCTTATCTTCATCCTTTGATAGATTTTTGAACATAAGCATACTTACCGGAGTCAAACAATTGTGTTTTTTTTTACCTGAAGGCGATATTCATTCCCGTCGAAGGGGATAATGGTGCGGCAATGTTTGACCGTGGAGGCAGTGCCTAGGAAGTATATCGCACTAATCAAAAAACTTACTCGACCGTGTAGGAGCTTACAGAGAGTTGTCATTTGAATTACTGACAACCAGTATTATCCACCAGGGATGTGCTGTCTTCATTTTTGCTTAAATTCATCATAGATGTACCAAGAGATGTGAATTTAATCTACTGAACGACTTACGGACTACCTTTTTACCACAGTAGAGTCTCATCAGTTTAGCCTACAGATGGTATGGTCCTTCTAGCGGAACATACACTGGGAAAATACAGAGTATTCTGAATGGCATAAGCAGAAATCTTTGTATGTTTAACATGATATACGAGACTCTTGCCATCAATATTGTAATGATAATCACTATTTTTCAGTAGCATTGCATTCTCCATGCAGAATTTTATTTATTAAACACTACCATATTTCCACTGACTTTTATTAATTCAGACTGAGTAGGTCATTCTTGCACTATTATTGTGTAATACTGACTTTCGACTTTTGATCTCCACCTGAATGTACACACACATTCCATTCTAAATTATTCCTCACAATCCGTGAAACATTTTTTAGAACACAATTATCAGTATCCAATTAATTGCAGTATGAATTCTCGACTATATAGGTTATTGAAAATGATTTATCATATCGATGCCCTCCTTCGCTGTTAAACCTTCTCTTGATTTTGTTCAATTTCTTTCTGATAAATTTCGCGGGTTGAGACTTCTTGAAATACAGAAATAAGGTGTGAGAATGGAATATACTTTGAAGAAGACGTCCCATGCTGCCGACCCTCATAAATCTTATTGAAAAAAAGAATTTCAAGCAGTAAGGCAATTTACTACTTTGATTGGACAATAGTCACTAGTGTAATGTGTCTAGTCTTACCTTCGGTGTAGACTGAATTCTATCAGACAGGTTTGCAATGTGGCCAACACTTTAGGTAGCTTGCTATGGCGGTGCAAATTGTTTTGATGATAATAGATGGTTGGAGGCAATCGGCCACAGGAAGCCTTGGACCTAGGTTTCGTGCGAGCTGGCACTCGTCAACAAGGCGTATCTGCAACCTTGAAGGAACTCATACCCCTCCCGGGATTCGAACCCGCGTCACCCAGTGCTGCAGTCAGAGATTTTACCACTGAGCACCAGAGAAAGGACTAGACGCATCAGACTAGTTAGTAGTACCCAGTCAAAGTATCCAATACATTCCTAGAGGAAGTCAATCACGAGCCTGAATGGCTCAGTGGTAACATCTCTGACTGCAGGCGGCGCTGGATGACGCTAGTGCGAATCTCAGAAGGAAAATGAGTTCCTTCAAAATTGCAGAGACGCCTAGATGACGAGTGCCAACTAGCACGAAACCTAGGTCCAAGGCTTCCTTCCGAATACCTCCAACCATCTACTATCGTCACGGCAAGTTACTGCTAATACCCACATTGTTGTAAGAAAGCAGTAGCATTTCAAAACTATTCATTGTATAAACGTTAACTGTGTCATGTTTTCATCCCACCAAATGAGTGTAGTTACAATTCTGTCTGTCTGTCTATTTTCGACATAGAACTTTGCACAAATGTGCACCAGTTAAAGTCGCCACACTCCGTGTAGCACGCGAAGCAAGAGAAGAAAGTACAAGAAAAGCATAATAGAAACAATGAGCAGAGGTGTGAGACAAAGGAGGAGTAATAACGAAGAACAAAACAGTTTCATTGGAGATCATAAGTCACAAGGAGTGGATGCATCTGCGCCACTGAGAACGATAAATTTGAGCCATGTCACCAATTGTTTCCAACCATAGATTTTTACCGTCCCGAGGACCCCAGTCTGGAAGTCTACACCTTCCTACATGGCTTAGACCAACTGTTGTGGATTTCATTGACTGGTGCAGCCAAGTTTTTGTTTGACCGCCGCTAGCTTTTTTCCAGCCTGACCCTATATCCGTTAACATTGCTCGTCGAGGGAGGCGATGGCTTGGCATACGTAACACATGTCCTAACCATCTCAGTCTTTGTAACTTCACGACTTCATCGATTGATTTCCCCTGTTTACCTAGAACTCTACGCCTAACCTCAATGTTGCTCACCTTATTATGCCACTTCACACGGGAAATAGAACGCAGGCACCTATGATCAAAGACGGCTACCACGCTTTTCATGTCTTCCACTCTCAGTGACCAGGTCTCACTTGCAGCCATAAAGGAGGACGGAGCGGACTGATGAGCAGTACACCCGCCCTTTGGTCGATAGTCGAACATCTCGTCTACGCCAGAGTCGGCGTAAACTAACAAATGCTGTTAATATTATTATTATTATTAAGTCCATTAGTACATCTATGATGAAGTTGAATAGAAATGGGGATAATGGGCATCCTTGACGGACACCGCTAGTCGTCACCAGTTCAGATGACAGCTCGCCGTAAGCCCTCACCTGGCTGTATGAGTACGAGTAGAGTGCCTTAGTCAGTGCAATATATTTTCTCGGAATTCCCTTTACAGCCAAGCATCTCCAGAGAACTTCTCGATCGACAGAGTCGAATTCCGCCTTTAGGTCAAGAAATATAATGACTGTTGGACTCCGGTAGGAATTCCTATGTTCTAGAATCTGTCGGAGGGTGAAGATATGATCAATACACCCTCTTCCTGGTCTGAAGCCTGCCTGGCTCTCTCGTGTTTGTGCCTCCCGAGCACCACTTAGTCTACGCATGATTATTGAGCCTAGGACTTTAGATACTATATTAGTCAGGCTAATCCCTCTGGTAGTTACAATTGAATTAAGTAAACGCTTGTCTTTCTGCTGATGACTAGCTTATATATTCAAGCGATTTATTCGTTTAGACTAAACAGGACAAGGAATATAAACAATGAGGAAGGAATGTCAACATTATTATGAGCATTTGAAAAATAAAACACAGTACTCTTGAAATAATTATTAGGAGTTGTAAAATAACGAAACAATAGATTTGCTAAAAGATAGACTAAAAGATGAGGCGCACACATCCTGTCAGCTTTAATAAGTTTTCTGCTAAGAGAACACATCCTGTTAATAGCATCTGCGCTGAAATATAGGAGCGTCTCAATAGAACAGATAGATTTTATAAAAAGCCTTTTCGTAATCTGACAGTCACAGGGTGCTCAGAACAGAATATGTGGAATCTGAAAAGATTAAAAGACGCAATAACTCTACAGCCTTTATTTGTTTGGTATTTTAAAGACGAATTTGAAATGTACGAGAGAAAGCAACGATAGGATGAACACGAGAACCAGCTTTTGGTTATTGTAGCTGATTATATTATACATATAAGTCTTAATAGAAAGACTGTTGTCCATGATACATGTTCGTTGACTGATTCATCAATCACAGTGGTATGCGCTTCAAAGCGTAGAGAATGCGCTTATTAGTTTTTATGGTTGAAGTTTCATGCTAAAATTATTATTATTAAGAACTGAGAATATCGATGGAATATGCTACACAGCTACATTCTTAAACAGTATGAGATTAAAAATCCACGAGAAGAACCGGAACGCTTCTGTGCACCCGGACGATCATGCACTCAATAAGTAATACTGATATAAGAATACTGCTAATATTACTATTATACGACTTAATGACAATCATTAGTTAAATAAAAGTTATTATTATTACGGCATTTTTAATAAAAAAAGGCTAATATCACTCTATTATAACTATCATCGTCTGCAATAAAACTCACTTATCCGTCTGCCAAAATATAGCGCATCCGTCGACCTTTTTACTCTCTTTTAACTCCATCGTCCGCCTTCTACTCTTTGGTAAAAAGACAGCATCATAGTTCAACTTTTGTAACTCCGGTTTGAAAACCTCTTCAAACTGATCAGTTCGCAACTCCTATGAAGAAAAAATAATAATAATGTGACATGTAACATCATTTTGCATTAAATAATGCCAAACAAACTTTCACAATACTTCGGAGTTAAAAACCAGTTTTTTTTCCTGCATCGGTTGGTTGGTGAATGACCATCATTGTATAGTTGGCATAGGCCGAATTCTGACAAAAAAACATCCACTCAAGTGTGTATATAAAGTTAATGGGCAAAGTCACAGTTATGTAGATGTTAAACCCCTCAGTGACCTAGTTATTATGCTTATAATTACAGTAGGGGTATACCAGCAAAAGGCACGTTCCCTCTAATATTAGAATGTACTATTCATTATTTGTAAAACTACTGATTCTCTCTTAAAAGGACTGGATTATATACATGAATCGATTATTTGATCGAAACCAGTGACAGTATCAACACCTATACATATGTCATTCTGTTACCAGAGAACCAGTTTATGGACGAAGACTTAATTGTAGATATATGACCATTTTTAATTTCAACAGCTTATTATAATGAGTTATTCTGACTTTACAGTCAAAAAGTGCAAACTTAAGATTCCGAAAAAATATAAAGTTTTTTTAAGTACTACTTGAAGAACACTTTACAAGAGTGACCAGTAACAGACATAACTCCATTTTAGATATTTTATGATGTCTGGAGAAAAAAGCATCGGTAGTTCAGCCGTAGAATGCTCGCCAACCACGGAAGTGTTCCAGGGTTCGATCCCCGACCACCAAAGCTCTCCTAGACCTCACTAAGTCCGGTAGTAAGGCAGGTAAAGAGGGAAGGCTGGACGTGAGACCAGCAACCCCTCCCCGCAAACATACAACACGACTGCTACCGAAACTTTAAAACCCTAGCTTGAAGCCCTATGTCCCAGTGGGAACGTAAAGAAATAAAAAGAGGAATAACAAAAAAAAGAGGAAAAAATCTAATAAATAATTTAAACAATGTGAAAGTAATTAATACAAACGAGTACTCACAAAAATTGTAGTAAAGCAAAAAATTTTGTTAATGTACATCAGTAACAACCAGTTGGAATAATAATAATATATAGAATCACGTGTAGTATAGTTGATTTCCCTAAACATAAGAGTACATAGAGTGTGTAAAAAAGGTGGATAGGAGAGCAGAAAGAGATAGAGTGAATAAGTGTCAGTGAGAAACTTTGATCACTGGGCGTTTTAGCCTACCAAAGCTTCTCAACACATAATTTAAATTAACAATGAGATGTTTCTCACGTTGGTTCATCACATAAGCTGTAATAATTATCTACTTAAACAAGTAAGGTGAAGAAATTGAATGCAATTCAAGTGAAAATTAGTTAAAAGGATGATTAGATTTTAATATGGATAACAGTACCAAAGTGTAACTAGGAGTTCAAAATAGCAAACTTCCTCATCAAAACAAGATTAAACGATATTTGCGTCATAGAAGAAATCACATGAAGTTGTAACACCAAAGAAATGGAAGAATTTAGTTACCACTATCGTATGCACGAAATGAAGAGTAACAGTGAAGGAAACAGGACACGAGTAGTTGTTTGTGCAAACTATATTACTAACACAAGCCTACTGAAATGTAAAAGTAGAATTTTAACACTGTGGTAGAATACACATCCATTCCATATCAGACAAGTTCATTCGATATAACACATTATGATACACTACTAACCACTAGATGGTACTAATAATAACAGCTTTATTCTAAACAGTACTTTTGGTACAAATATGGAATTTTCAGCATGCAGTACAGTATTGAATCTAACTTTCTCATTACAGACATAATAATTTTGAAAAAAGGCATTCACGCTGATAATATTATTCAATTGGTAATTTCCTATCTTACACTCTTTCTCATCACATAAAATGTGTGCCTGCCCAATAAGGTATTATGGAGTTAATATACTTAGTTGTCCTAGCATACAGCTCTTCTATAGTGGCTTCTAGTTCTACTTGATGAGATGCATGAAGAAAGTTGTGCATAGAGAGGAAGCTCAGAGTCTGACAAGATAATATTTGCTAATTTCCTGCAGGAATCCAAGTGTCTATCTACAATAGTATTAACAAGCTGGTTTAGGGACAGCCCAATTGCCCTACTGACAAATTTTAGTGCCTGTCCTTCGCAGTAAAACAAAGTCTTACTTAAGTAGCCTAGGAAAGATTGATGGGAGAGCAGTAATGAAGGATAGGCGGAATACAAGAATCAACAAACTTAGAAATTATTATTGTTATTGTTCCCTTAGCTTCCTGCACGGCTTCGACTGCACGTCTCCACTTCCTTCTGTCTTCTGCTGTACTTTTCACCTGCATCTCATCTATGTTAGTCCATACTCTTTCAACTCCTCTTCACACCATCTCCTCCATGTCACCCTTGCACTGGCATCCCACTCGCCGCTTCCCATTCTGTCGGGTTCCACTCGAGCAATCGCCTGACGCGCGCGCGATGTCACCAACCGGCCTTCGCAACCAGTGTCCAATCCATCTAAATCCACTTTCTCCTGCATATTTGTTGGGCGATTCGTTCTTCTTTTGTTTCTTCCCATAGTTTCTTGTTGGTGATTCTTCCCGGCCCCACCATCTGATCTTCAGTATAGATCCAGCGAAGACAGTTGTTGGTTGGTTGATAAAGGCCTGCAACAGGCTGTTGGAAATATTCTTTGTGACCCGCCCGCCAAGTTTCTCATCCGTATAGAAGAGCTGACTGACTGACTTGACGTTTGTATTGAAAATCCGACCGAATTTTGTTGTTGATGCTGGCTGAGTGACGAAGATTTCCACATTGGTTTCAGGTTGATGAGTGAATGTGTTTCTCGCCTTCCCGATTCTCGCTCGATTTGACATCCTCGTCCGTTCCGACTTCCTGTAGTTGAGACAATGCTCCCTAGATAATGGAGTGAATGAAGTAACCTCTTTCAAATCCCTCCCGTTGATGGTGATTGACGCTGGATTTTGCTGTTGTTGTTGTTGTTGTTGCAGCCATTAGAAGATCTTTATCAAACTTAGAGACTGACAAACCAAAGGAGTCACTAAAAAATTTGTTATGCGGCAGGAAAGATATAATAAGCAACTAAGTAAGAGAAATCCACATATACATATCGACCCGATTCAACAATTACTGGAAAACACAAAAAACAAGGATTAGTTTTGAGTTCAGGTGGACAGAATAGTCAGAGAAAATGTCAGCATACAGGTACGTGACTTTGAGATAGCCAGTTGCATCCAAAGTCAGCAAGCATAAGCTACTAAACCACACAAGGAGTGTAAATTTATATAGGTGATGGTGATTGACGCTGGATGTTGCTGTTGTTGGTTGGTTGGTTATTTTCATAACCTCCGTCTTGTCTATGTTCACCTGGAGTCCTGTCTTCGCCGGCTGCTTCTTCGACCAGTTTGTCGGTTTGTGTGACATCAAACATAAATCATCCACGTGCGAAATCCAGGTCTTCTTAGTCCTTCACGTCGAAACTTAGAAATTAGAGACGAGATAATACCAGATCGTCTTAACTTCCTAACGTAGAACGTAAAAAAAAACATGACTTGAGAAGACTGGAAAAGATGAGAGAAAATATATAATCCAGGGTATTTAACATCCGACTTAGTTTCAACTTCAGTGCCATGATGGTGGAAACATGCGAACTTAACACCTCATGCAAGTAACGCTTGCATCTTAAAGTCAAATTAACAGCCTGACATTCGGAGACACTAAGCTCAGGACCATTTGACAAGCATCACTAACTAATTTCTGACAAAAAGTCGTTCATTTTGGAACAGTTTGACTGAGAAGTAACGAACACAGAAACAGTCCGATCATAGACATACTTTACAAAATTGGTGTCCATCGAAAACTTCTTACTTTTAGTAATAGCAATATACTGACACGATTTCCTGACTTGTTTTATATTATATTATTCTTAGTATCTCTTGTCTGCTAACGTAATTTTTTGTATATCCGAGATAGGTGTTGCGTCGTTCCCATTCGCGTGTGTGTTGATGCTAATTCCACAAACAAACACATTTCCTAACGAACTTTTCTCTCCATATAACCGTATTAATTTTTAATAGTTTTACCCTACCTTACCATATCGTGTGATTACATGCGACTGCATGCATAGCAACATTTACCAAGCTTTTTTCGAGATTATTTAACTTGGGAAGGTTAACCATACTAGATACAAACTAAATTCCTATCCATCACACTGCGCATGCAAATTTGATTTAGAGTCACTAGGATGCAAGGAAAAAAAACAAAGTATATCTGACAAAAAGAAGACTACATCTAATAGCGTGAAATCTTGGCGACCTGTTTGAAAACTTGGGCTACCAAAAAACTTCCTTCGCTCTATTGAATATGTTTTCTTCCGTTTCGTTTTGTTTTAATCGATTAAGACATAAACTCTAGTGGTATTACCTACTCTTGTGTTTACAAGCACCTGATTCGCGAGTTCCTACTAAACTTGAGAGAAGGTCTGATTGTGGGTGGCAAAGTGTTCCGATAAACGAGATAACTGTTCTTCAGTTATTTTCCTGGGTCTCAAATTGAACTTCTGAACATCTTACAATTAGCTTTCAAACAGATATCGTGGATTTCTTGAAGAAGCCAAAGCAGATATATCATAATGGAGTTGTTTCTGCTTCAGCTCAGAGACCATTGCGTCGTAGGAGATACTGTCAATTAATATTTTACTTGAAGATATTGTACGAAGGGGGAATATCATGCAATAAACTCCTGTGAAAATTCTGTACATTTTATAAATACTGTTCAGAATAAAGATGTTATTTTTATTATTTTTTAAATAATAATTTTTAAAAATGCAAATGTATACACGTTTAACTTCAAAACCTACTGTCTACTTCAGTCTACAATATAGTCTACACATAAGCATCAAGTAACACTTACTGCTACCGACTGGCAATAGCTTCAGCACACAGTTCAAATAGATAGCTTAGAAAATTCTTCGATACACTACATGTTGTCAAAATATCTAAAGAAATATAACGTATATCATTGTGTGAACACAGAAACGAAATACGCAGCGTTGTTAGTAGGATGACCAATGAACCGGCTCTAAATTTCTATCTTCTGGTAAACTAACTGGCCTCGACCTACTATTAGTTTTGACTCGCGTCACAAACCTTACTGTCATTATATAGTAATTGGTAACTAGATTTATTGTATCGTTCAACCGAAAAAGTTTATCTTTGGAAGAGTTAGCTGGTTTAAATGCCATCCTAATTTCAGCGTTATTAAGAAACCTAATGTCAGGCCTCTGATGTTCCTTCCTTATATGGTAGTACTATCTATTCCATGAATCCTTTGTTACTTTTTTCTCATTACTACTTTTATTTGTCCTTATTAGTCCTAATAAACAGCTGTTAGGCTTTTCTTATTGTTCCAGACCTAGCTCCTGAACCAACCACACAGCCACCGGCAGCATTACTTAGTATCTGACAAATTACCTTTCACCAGCATACCAATATATCTGAGGCTATTACTGAGTTCAACTAGATTCCTTTTGTATCTCTATCATTTAAAACTTGTTCAAAAAGTTTTTAATTATTATGTCTGAAATAACATTGAACATATGATCTAATTTAGTAGACTGTAAACATGACTTTTGTTGTAAGTGTGACACCAATGTAAAAAACAAATCTGCTTTAATTCTAGTTCTGAAACAAGGTATAAAAAACCAAACAACACGCTCTGTCTTTAGCACAATGTTGTACAAACTCACTATCTTGATATACATTTGTGAATGAAACACAACTTACATACATACACACACACACACACAAACACGAACACAGAATTCACATGAGTAGATAATTTCAGTATATTCATTACACTATTTCTAAAATCTACAATTCTCACAACTCAACAAATTTATGAACTGATGTTTAATTCTTTGTCATTCTCCCAAGCTATTGTTTTGAGCTGCCGCCTGCCTAGCTTCAGATCACAAAACCAAGACCCGTAGCACTAATGATTTCAGTAGACTAATAATGAAAGTTAGTCGGATATCCCAATCATACAGGACACTTGTGTAAGCCTAGACTAAATGTTTGGGCTAAACAACTTTGAGTTGAATCCAAGGGCTATATTCAATCATCATGAGCAACTGTAACAAAAGTGTACATTACGCATAACTTCGGGATAAGCAGATATCAAAATACAGAATTTAAATAGCATATAATGCATAGAGTCATGAGTTCCTTCAAGATTGCAGATATCCCTTGCAGACAAGTACCAACAAGCACATAACCTAGAGGTCCCAGACTACGTGTCGATTGCCTTCAAACATCTAATCAACAACTATACAGAAAATAATTATATCAGTAACTAAATAAAACTTCCTTATTCTTTTGATGAACAAAGAACTGAACCTTTAACTAACCTGTAGACATATAATGTTTGCATGATATATGCGTATTTCATCAAGAATAGCTCGCCTCCGGTAATCCCAGCTTAAAGCCCAAGAAGGACAGTATGGGTACATCATTGGTGTAGCATAGTTAGGACTCAGTAGATTGTAACACATTAGGGTAAATGCAACTAAGAAGCAAAACAACAAAGATAATAAACAAAAAGTATTAAGAAGAGGTGCAACACATAGTTCTAGCAGTAACAATTAAAGAAAGAACAGAAAACCAAAATATTTACTGGAGCCTCCACAATAGTCAATTCGTTTAAGAAACAAGTATGTTAAAACTGTTATTGTGCTTATATTTAATAATATCTTTGCCATATGATGGGATCCCACATATTTTGGTATTGACTGTTAATCTTGCATATATGGTATATCATCATTCTCACACATTTTTGTTATTGACTGTTGATCTCGCACATATGGTATATTATCATCTCTCACGCACTTTGTTATTGGCTATTAAGATCAATTATTTCAAATGCTGTTAGCTGTCCATATTGTTGTAAAATGTATAAATATCATGGCTTTCTTTGTCGTTGTTGTACTACAATACACAGTCACAGTCCAGCCTTTGTCTTTTGATATTTGCGTGCTTTACTAAATCGGAAGGTACGACAAGCAGATAGGCAGATTAGTTCAGGCGCAGACAGAACAAGGTGACAACGTCTTCATTTAATTCCCTACAGTTATAACAAATTGGCGACGGGGTTTTACCTTAATTGATTGCTGCTATAACAAGCAAGCGACGACGGGTCTTATTCTGTTCAGCGCAGCTATAGAACATTTTTGACTGTGTTAATTACAACCCAATTACAATGTCTATCTCTCTGGACGATCTCAAATCTATCTTGCAGCAGCAGCAAGTTCAGAATGAAGCAGCTCAACTAAAATTAATCGAAGCTCTCACTCAGAAGCTGTCCATTCAAGTTCCATCAACATCTCATTCTGACAAATATGAAAGCATCTCAAATTCCATTAGTGAGTTCAACTACGACCCAATATCTGGTCTCGTATTTGATGCATGGTTCAATCGTTACGAAGACGTTTTCCGTATTGAATGCTACATGTTTGATGATGCTGCCAAAGTCCGATTGTTACTAAGAAAACTTGGTACTGTTGAGCACAACAGATATGTTAACTTCATTCTGCCCAAGAACCCACGTGAGTTATCATTCGATGAGACAGTCACCGTTTTATCACAAATATTTGGTGAACAGTCATCCATGTTTAATATTCGGTATCAATGTTTTCAGTTGACAAAAATGCCTTCCGATGATTATGTCACTTACGCTGGCAAAGTGAACAAGGAATGTGAAAGGTTCAAACCACACGAAATGACATCAGATCAGTTCAAGTGTTTGATTTTTATTTGTGGGTTGAAGAACCCAGAAGATACTGACATAAGAACTCGACTTCTGTCACTCGTGGAACAAGATCCGAAAATGACTTTACAAATGGTGACAGCAGAATGCCTACGCTTAATCAACTTGAAGCACGATACTGCTATGGTGGAGTGCAAACGACAGTCGTCTGAATTTGGTTCAATTAACACAGTGAAAAGTCCTCCGATCACCGTTAAGCACACAGCACGTCAGTCTCAGAATTCAGCTAAACCTCCTTCAGTGTGCTGGCACTGTGGTTCGTGGCATTTTGTCAAGTTCTGTCCTTTCAAGAAGCATAAATGCCGTAATTGTCACCGTTTTGGACATAAGGAGGGTTACTGTACACCGCAGAAAAATTCTTCGGTGAGGAACAGAAGTAGTCGTTTCAAGCCGAAACAATCTCCTCGAGTACAGACCATTTTCACAACTTCCAAAGTCGATTTCGCCAGCAAACGTAAGTACATAACACTAGATATTAACGGCAAACATATTCGTCTTCAGTTGGATACGGCATTAGATATCACCTTAATTTCCCGAACTACGTGGCGCAAACTTGGTTGCCCACAGATTCTGCCGACCGAGCATTTCGCCAAGAATGTCTCTGGAGATATACTGAAACTCGTGGGTGAGATAAATTGCCAGGTTCAGTTTGGTGAGCATCACTTCAATGGTGTATGTTACGTTACAAACTACCATGATTTGAATTTGCTTGGTCTTGACTGGTTAGACAAGCTCCATATCTTTAATGTACCATTAAATTCAGTATGCTCTAATGTTTCGTCCTCACCACACAACGTTGTTCCCGGAGATGTATCTGATCAATCTCTCTTGCAACGCCTTCGTCAAAAGCACGCTTCTGTCTTCCAGGACAAACTTGGTTGCTGCAAACTGTTTGGCATCCAGCATATTCGTAGCCCCCCGTATCATCCCCAATCGAATGGACAGACTGAACGTTTCGTCGACACCTTTAAGCGTGCTTATGCAAAAGCGAAGGGGGAGGGAACAACAGAAGAAATTTTGGATAAATTCTTGCTGCATTATCGTACGAATGTAAAAGGACAGTTATGTGTCAGACACACAGATCACGCTCTATCCAGTACCACGCAAAGGTCAACTCGACAAAGAAGAGCTCCGAAACCTTTTCAAATAGATCCAAAAAGCAAGTCCTACACTCTTTACGGGGAGAGGTGATAGGATCCCACATATTTTGGTATTGACTGTTAATCTTGCATATATGGTATATCATCATTCTCACATATTTTGGTATTGACTGTTAATCTTGCATATATGGTATATCATCATTCTCACACATTTTGGTATTGACTGTTAATCTTGCATATATGGTATATCATCATTCCCACACATTTTGTTATTGACTGTTAATCTCGCACATATGGTATATTATCATCTCTCACGCACTTTGTTATTGGCTATTAAGATCAATTATTTCAAATGCTGTTAGCTGTCCATATTGTTGTAAAATGTATAAATACCATGGCTTTCTTTGTCGTTGTTGCACTACAATACACAGTCACAGTCCAGCCTTTGTCTTTTGATATTTGCGTGCTTTACTAAATCGGAAGGTACGACAAGCAGATAGGCAGATTAGTTCAGGCGCAGACAGAACAAGGTGACAACGTCTTCATTCAATTCCCTACAGTTATAACAAATTGGCGACGGGGTTTTACCTTAATTCATTGCAGCTATAACAAGCAAGCGACGACGGGTTTTATTCTGTTCAGCGCAGCTATAGAACATTTTTGACTGTGTTAATTACAACCCAATTACAATGTCTATCTCTCTGGACGATCTCAAATCTATCTTGCAGCAGCAGCAAGTTCAGAATGAAGCAGCTCAACTAAAATTAATCGAAGCTCTCACTCAGAAGCTGTCCATTCAAGTTCCATCAACATCTCATTCTGACAAATATGAAAGCATCTCAAATTCCATCAGTGAGTTCAACTACGACCCAATATCTGGTCTCGTATTTGATGCATGGTTCAATCGTTACGAAGACGTTTTCCGTATTGAATGCTACATGTTTGATGATGCTGCCAAAGTCCGATTGTTACTAAGAAAACTTGGTACTGTTGAGCACAACAGATATGTTAACTTCATTCTGCCCAAGAACCCACGTGAGTTATCATTCGATGAGACAGTCACCGTTTTATCACAAATCTTTGGTGAACAGTCATCCATGTTTAATATTCGGTATCAATGTTTTCAGTTGACAAAAATGCCTTCCGATGATTATGTCACTTACGCTGGCAAAGTGAACAAGGAATGTGAAAGGTTCAAACCACACGAAATGACATCAGATCAGTTCAAGTGTTTGATTTTTATTTGTGGGTTGAAGAACCCAGAAGATACTGACATAAGAACTCGACTTCTGTCACTCGTGGAACAAGACCCGAAAATGACTTTACAAATGGTGACAGCAGAATGCCTACGTTTAATCAACTTGAAGCACGATACTGCTATGGTGGAGTGCAAACGACAGTCGTCTGAATTTGGTTCAATTAACACAGTGAAAAGTCCTCCGATCACCGTTAAGCACACAGCACGTCAGTCTCAGAATTCAGCTAAACCTCCTTCAGTGTGCTGGCACTGTGGTTCGTGGCATTTTGTCAAGTTCTGTCCTTTCAAGAAGCATAAATGCCGTAATTGTCACCGTTTTGGACATAAGGAGGGTTACTGTACACCGCAGAAAAATTCTTCGGTGAGGAACAGAAGTAGTCGTTTCAAGCCGAAACAATCTCCTCGAGTACAGACCATTTTCACAACTTCCAAAGTCGATTTCGCCAGCAAACGTAAGTACATTACACTAGATATTAACGGCAAACATATTCGTCTTCAGTTGGATACGGCATCAGATATCACCTTAATTTCCCGAACTACGTGGCGCAAACTTGGGTGCCCACAGATTCTGCCGACCGAGCATGTCGCCAAGAATGTCTCTGGAGATATACTGAAACTCGTGGGTGAGATAAATTGCCAGGTTCAGTTTGGTGAGCATCACTTCAATGGTGTATGTTACGTTACAAACTACCATGATTTGAATTTGCTTGGTCTTGACTGGTTAGACAAGCTCCATATCTTTAATGTACCATTAAATTCAGTATGCTCTAATGTTTCGTCCTCACCACACAACGTTGTTCCCGGAGATGTATCTGATCAATCTCTCTTGCAACGCCTTCGTCAAAAGCACGCTTCTGTCTTCCAGGACAAACTTGGTTGCTGCAAACTGTTTGGCATCCAGCATATTCGTAGCCCCCCGTATCATCCCCAATCGAATGGACAGACTGAACGTTTCGTCGACACCTTTAAGCGTGCTTATGCAAAAGCGAAGGGGGAGGGAACAACAGAAGAAATTTTGGATAAATTCTTGCTGCATTATCGTACGAATGTAAAAGGACAGTTATGTGTCAGACACACAGATCACACTCTATCCAGTACCACGCAAAGGTCAACTCGACAAAGAAGAGCTCCGAAACCTTTTCAAATAGATCCAAAAAGCAAGTCCTACACTCTTTACGGGGAGAGGTGATAGGATCCCACATATTTTGGTATTGACTGTTAATCTTGCATATATGGTATATCATCATTCTCACACATTTTGGTATTGACTGTTAATCTTGCATATATGGTATATCATCATTCTCACACATTTTGTTATTGACTGTTAATCTCGCACATATGGTATATTATCATCTCTCACGCACTTTGTTATTGGCTATTAAGATCAATTATTTCAAATGCTGTTAGCTGTCCATATTGTTGTAAAATGTATAAATATCATGGCCTTTTTTGTCGTTGTTGTACTACAATACACAGTCACAGTCCAGCCTTTGTCTTTTGATATTTGCGTGCTTTACTAAATCGGAAGGTACGACAAGCAGATAGGCAGATTAGTTCAGGCGCAGACAGAACAAGGTGACAACGTCTTCATTTAATTCCCTACAGTTATAACACCATGTAAGCAGCTGATGAGAAGGCAACGAAATAAAAGTGGTAACATTTTATTCTGCTAAAACTGTAGTTCTTGCTTTGTTCAAATAAAATGATCATCTTTCAGTCTTCACAAGCTTCATAGCATATTATTAAGGAAATATACCACGGTTGACAATGTGTGACAATATCACTAAAAGTGCATTTGATCAGTCGGATGTCCGAGTTGACATATATTCAGTTCACAGTTTTGAATGCCATGTTTGCCATTTTTAAGTTAGTAAGCGCATCCAGATCCGCCTTGTTAGAGGTGGTGGGCTTTATGTGTCAGTGGCACAGTGGCAGAATGCTCACTAACCACGCATGTGGTTTGGGGTTCAATCCCCGGCCACCGATGCTCTCCTACACCTCGCTAAGCCGGTAACAAGACTAGTAAAGAGAGAAAGTTGGGTATGAGGCTAGCAACCCCATCTCGTAAAAATAAACACCAGTGCTGCCGAAAAGTACAGGAATAAAAAAGGGCAGCCAGCCAAGTGACGCACTTCACACCATACCATAAAAGTTATCACTTTCAGATAATGTAACAGCTTCAGTGAATAATTATTTTAGCTTGTCGTCAAAACTAAATAATATGAATGACACTTTCACAGTAGACAGGAACAGGAATGAAACTAATCATATTTTGATGAGCAATTTAAAACCTCATATCTACAGTGACACAACCCACAAGAACTAAATAATGAATCAGAATAGCAACTGTCCAATACTACGTAAGGAAACTGTGTTGAAAATCCTGTTTGACAGAGTTGAAACTCGATAGAGCATTGGAAAGTTGAAAGCTGAAAAATTATTCCAACGAAATGAAGACTTAAAATGCTTCAACACAAATTGAGTCCGCATAACACAGCCTAACAAAAGTCAATTAAACAGTGATAAATTCTTACATCAATATTATCCTGGAAGCCATTATTATTATATCATTGTGCCCTTGGCTTCCTGGTAGAACATACGGCTTCGACTGCACGTCTCCACTTCCTTCTGTCTTCTGCTGTACTTTTCACCTGCATCTCATCTATGTTAGTCCATACTCTTTCAACTCCTCTTCACACCATCTCCTCCATGTCACCCTTGCACTGGCATCCCACTCGCCGCTTCCCATTCTGTCGGGTTCCACTCGAGCAATCGCCTGACGCGCGCGCGATGTCACCAACCGGCCTTCGCAACCAGTGTCCAATCCATCTAAATCCACTTTCTCCTGCATATTTGTTGGGCGATTCGTTCTTCTTTTGTTTCTTCCCATAGTTTCTTGTTGGTGATTCTTCCCGGCCCCACCATCTGATCTTCAGTATAGATCCAGCGAAGACAGTTGTTGGTTGGTTGATAAAGGCCTGCAACAGGCTGTTGGAAATATTCTTTGTGACCCGCCCGCCAAGTTTCTCATCCGTATAGAAGAGCTGACTGACTGACTTGACGTTTGTATTGAAAATCCGACCGAATTTTGTTGTTGATGCTGGCTGAGTGACGAAGATTTCCACATTGGTTTCAGGTTGATGAGTGAATGTGTTTCTCGCCTTCCCGATTCTCGCTCGATTTGACATCCTCGTCCGTTCCGACTTCCTGTAGTTGAGACAATGCTCCCTAGATAATGGAGTGAATGAAGTAACCTCTTTCAAATCCCTCCCGTTGATGGTGATTGACGCTGGATTTTGCTGTTGTTGTTGTTGTTGTTGCAGCCATTAGAAGATCTTTATCAAACTTAGAGACTGACAAACCAAAGGAGTCACTAAAAAATTTGTTATGCGGCAGGAAAGATATAATAAGCAACTAAGTAAGAGAAATCCACATATACATATCGACCCGATTCAACAATTACTGGAAAACACAAAAAACAAGGATTAGTTTTGAGTTCAGGTGGACAGAATAGTCAGAGAAAATGTCAGCATACAGGTACGTGACTTTGAGATAGCCAGTTGCATCCAAAGTCAGCAAGCATAAGCTACTAAACCACACAAGGAGTGTAAATTTATATAGGAAGAATGTTTTCAGAGAAAGACAATCAATTAATCAGCAACCTAAAATAAATACCAACACTCCCAACAACGACAACTTCCCCTTATAAGCTACACAAATATCCCTGATCATTAGTGAATAAATCATGCTAAATAATAGAAATTTAGTAGCTAACCAAGCAGTATGACAACAAAACTGATTCACGAGCTGTGTGAACAACATGCAAAAGTTAAGATGAAAATTCACTGAAAGTGGTCACAAGTTAGATTTTAAAACTTCAGGATAAATAAATTCAAAAACACAAGGGAATTCCGCTGGAAATGGGAAGATGATAATTAACACAGGCATAGAAAGTTGAATATACGAAGAGCAATAAAAATCATTTTGATAAAAAAAACAGGCACCAAATGTAAACAAGTATCAACTGTAAATAAGGATAATAATTGAAAGACAGCATAACTAACTAACTAGTGATTATTGTCTTCAATAATGAAAACAACTCAAGAGGGGTAAGAGAAACAAGAACCTTGTTATCAAATGATTCAAACCAACGATAGGATCAATCAATTTAGAACAGGAAGTCTATAGTGAGCAGTTAATGATGGTTGGTCTATTCACTCCTCTGACAACAAGATCATAATTGATCAATACACATTTATCCGTTGACAATGACAAACTCCAACACAAGAAATAATTTAGAACACATGAAGGAGAACAAACAGGTCTACCAGTCAATATACAACAGATATTTGAAGTTCATAGAAAATAATGACAAACATGAAGATCAGTGACAAAAAAGCAACTAATAATGGCCAAATAAACTCATAAATAACGATGAAAAAAATTCACAATTTCCACCTACTTTCGAATTGCATTTAAAATGACTATTAGTCACACTATTTTGTTTCATTCGTTTGCGTTCCAAGTAGGAAGTAGGGAATAAAGCTTGTGCTTTTGAAATTTCGCTAGCGGTGGTGTTTTCTAGCCTCACACACCCACCCAATCTTCTCTTTATACTGGGTTTAATATACCAGTTAAGAAGGTGAGTGGGCCGGGAATCCAACAGGGACCAAATGCGTGATTGACGAGTATTCAATGAATGAACCACCAAGGCTACAATGATACACCCACCCGTTGAGTGAATAATTATACACTGGCTTTCATGAAAACAGAATACAGTCATCCTAACCTGTTGAGAGACCAGAATAGCATGCACTACCGTTATCTTGCATTCTTTAGTCATTTGGAAGCATTACACCGATTTTCATTTTCTTCCTTTTTTCGAAATTTGAGTTAGGGGTATCACTGTTAATAGTCCCTAAAGTGACCATTTAAATTAGCGTCTCGAGACTATTTATGTTATGGCTTGCGTTTACTTCTCCTTAGTTTTCTGAAAAGTGTTTTCAATTGCTATATTCACATCATACATACACAATGAAGAAACATTCAAGTGACATTATACTGCAAGTCCTCGAATGGAACTCAACGACGAGTTGGGTATCTGTGGACGAAAAGAGCAATCGCCAAATGAGGTCGAATGGCTGCAAAGAAACAATTGTAATAGAGCCGCACCACCGTAGCTCGATGTTATACTGTCATTTCATTATAATCTAGCGAATTTATCAAGTCTAAGCTGAACTTAATGTAAGGAGGTTTAATTTTTGAAACAAAACCGTATCAACGTAACTTTAACCATCGAGCTATGAGTATTCTGTGGTGACTGAAAGCTTTAACATACTAAAATGAGCCCTGACGATACAAAACCATAGGAGTGTCTGTAGTCGGATAAAATGATGAACGCCTAAGTTTTCTCTTGAAAGAGAACAAGAATGCTTTAACGTTTTTATCTATCTCATTAAAAATAGTGTGAGTTAGCTGATGACGAAAACGCCTAAAAAGTTATTCACGAGAGGTCAACTCTTGAGTCAATAAAAATGGTTGTGTCGAAAATTCGCGCTAGAAACACGAATTCTAAACGAGTATAATCATGAAAGAGTTTTGAAAAAATGTAATGATAACTTACATCCATCCTTGTTTGGATCAGCCAATCTTCTCCATTGTCTTGGAGGCGGTGAGCTGTGAACATCTAAGTGATGTTTTTAAGACAAAGAGACAAATTAATGCTTTCAACACCAATCAATCAAAACACGTTAGGAAAACCAATAAAGACTTTCTTCTTTTTTTTAATTTTAAATCACAAAGGTAGGTGTACAATAAACTCAAAAATCACAGGAATAGAATAGAAACTGATGAATACTATGGAGTGTAAATAACATTTTCCTACATAAAGAATAATTATTTTATAAACACTATGACATATTACCACAATGACCGCATTACAACAAAATAACCCATAAATACATTGAAAAACATGATTTCAAGAACATACATAAATGATGTTAAAACACTGAAAGGCGTTTCCCAAACAATGAGATCCACCTGCTAACACAACGACAACAACAGTCAATCCACCTAAAGACGCTTAGTTTAAGCCGGTAAACTACTACACACTATGGGATATGCGTGTCCAATTTCAGGTTTGACCGGATTTTTTTTAATTTACCTGCATATTTGATAAATGAACTTTTCGCTGGAAGTTACACCTCTCAAATTTATTTTATTTGTTTGCTCTGAATAACTATGCAGATTACACGCACTTGCTTGCGTCTAGATGTTAGAGCCAAGTGTTTCGTAGGAAAATCAGAGTGAAAACGTGGCACCGCCGGCTTTTTAAAGAGATAGCATTCGTTAAAGAATCCTTGAACAAAACGCCAAATCAAACCGCACAGTGATAAAATGTGTATCTCAGCAGTTGACTACGCTACGATTGGAGGGTACACAAAGTTAAATGTATGAACAAAATAGAAAATGTGTCATAAATCAGCCCCATGAAACCGTGCCTTCTAACTTGAGACTTTTTTAAATGAGGATAATTTATATCCTAATATCTGGACAAATACAAAAAAAAACATTCTCAAGTTATTCAAGTGTTGGTTTGTAAGGATTTGATTGGTTTACAGGATTTCATCATGAGCTGATATTAGTTAGAGAACCATTGGAAAACCTGGGAGTACTGGACAGCTGTTTCATCCTAGTTTGGGACTCTTCAGCAGTAAATTCTCAAATTATGTAACAAAAGAATGTGAACGAAAACTAATCTTTCAAGCATGAAACTTTTCATCGCATAAAATAACAATTACAAATTTATTCTTCCTGACGGTATTCACCATAGTTAAACAGATGAGATGATATATATATATATATATATATATAGTGAGATGTAATCATATGCTATGGCCAAAACTTTGTGGGTTTGTTTTTTACAAGTTATAAATAAATACTGAAGTTAACAGATTCACTCAAATCACTTACAGTTTCTCAACTGATCATAAGGAACAAGACAAGTGCGCAAAGCATTGCATACATCACGGTTTCTAGGGAGGCGTATCGGTTCAGGAATATATACCCATTGAGGTGTGGACGCTAATGCCGAGCAAGTATACGATTTGAACAGTAGATCATTTAATTTGTCACTGCATATGTAACTTTTCTTAGAGCAGACACGACACAATTCACCAGAATAACTGACTGCCGAATTACGAAATATACAAATATTCTTATTATGATTTCTCAGTGAATGTTTTAACTCACATGTTTTACATACATGACAAAGCCTAAATCCTGAGTAGTATTTTGGATGCAAATAATGACTACGACAAAACCTACAGGTCGCATCACGTAAACCCTCTTTAATGATATATAAGTCACTCGGACAAGAATAGAGTGAAGACGATAGTTGACATCTAGTGCATGCGAATTCTCTATGGGAAGCGGTTTGTTCATATTCTAACAGTGATGAGCAAGCATTTCGGCAACTAATTTGGCATGAATCATTCATTCCATTGTTCATGCAGCGTAAAAATGAATCCAGATCTTCGTATTTCTTTTACACGTTTTTATACATTTCGTGAAGCCACTGGATTCATAACAATTGGAACAAGGTAAACTTCCGGAAAGCTTAGATCCAATATTGTCAGTGTTGTCGTTATCAATTGGTGGAAGACGTTCAACAAATATAGAGACATTTTGGTTTGTCATATCAACAAAAACTCCGAAAGAAGAATCGGTATCATATGTTGGTTGGGGAAAACGATCTACGCCAGCATGATGCAAAAGCCGACAAAATCCAGAACACCTCATCCTTGAAGGAATAATACCTCTACAGTAAAATGGAGCCATGTGATAACAGTATGGAAAAGTAGATTCATAGCAGTTGATATGAGGATCCCAAACCTCATGTTGTGGAGTGGTACATGTGTGCTGTCTAAAAGGAGTTTTAAAACTTATACTAGAACAACAACAACAACAACAACAGCTTTGCTGACATTGGTGATTTCGACATAAATCATCAGAATCCAAGATTTCAGGAAACATATAGGGAGAAAAAGCCGTTGCATTGGTACCATATTTTAAATTCTGAATATGACGTTTAAAGTGTATCCGGGGGACATTGTGAGAACCGTATGCGACACGAGGGCTATCCGAAAACAAATGACCGACCTGCTGGGAACTTATTTCGTCGGTTTCTGAAGATGTTGAGTTTTGGCGTCTTGGTGGAATTGACAAGTTGTCGTTTAATAATGGGGGATGTATTGATGAATTGGCTGATACTAATGCATAAGAACGGTGTTTTGACAATTCCTGGTTGGAATTTGGAGTATAGAAAGACCTCTCACTTTTGTGCTGATGAGCGGTCATATTTTGAGTGTTATTTTCAGTAATACTGAAAGAAACGTGTGTAGCTTTGTTAGTATGAATGCAGGGTGTGCAACTATTTACATTCGAGGAATACTCCGGATGAATTATACAAGGCACATAGGGAATAAAATGTGACTTATTGACTAAATACCGAAACCAATACTTCTTCATAACAAACTCATATATCGATTTTGTTTCAGAAGAACTGTATATGCTATCAGTTACTGTTACCGGGAGATATGCAGCATGGAGTGAAACTACGGATTGGTGCAGTAAATTTGAAAGAGTTTCGGAAAAATTGATGAGAGAATGAAGAGAATTTTCACCTTTCGAATTTTCAGATAGAGTAAATTGTAAGTGGAGTTGACGAATAATCAGCTTGTATGTCTTCTGATGATTACCATTTCCAGGGTCTGTATTAAAAATTGTCACTGGAGGAAATTCCGATAAACTTGCTAAAGGTTGGAATATATCCCTGTTACTACACAATTCTGACAAAACACCCGCAAAAAGCAAATAAAGACGTGTTAAACAGACTCCTTTGAAGATTTTCGGTGCATATATCAATGACCAATAGCTGTGTAGTAAGTGAAAAAGGTAAGCGGCGTGAGAAACTGTAACTCCACAGACAAATTTATATGTAGCCGAATAACTTGATATTACTTTATACTGTATAATGTTTGAAATAGTTTGATAATGAGGTGAGGTTTGAACATCACATTCAGAGAGCATGTGTTGACTCTTTTTTGAAACACAATCACTAATTAAAGTTGAAATCCTATTAAGAAAGCCTAAAATCATTAAGTTACAACTTCCAGATGTGATGAAGAGTTCATTGGTTTTAGAAAAATTTCTTTATCCATCCAGTTAGTGTCTCCGGAACATGAATATTGGTAAAATCTTGATGTTGTTTGCAAAGTTTTGATACAACTCACAGGAAATAACAGGAACTAATTCCTTGAATAAAAAATAATCACGAATAAATCCATCCCTTATTGACTGTGTGAATGCATTTATCAGTCTCATTCGTAAGTAAACTGGAGAAAAAATGGTCACATTAACAGGTTATGTACTCTTGACTAAAACAGACTTAAGTGGTTATAAGGATAGCATACTACTACTACTACTACAACAAGGCAGTCACGTTATGCGATACAGAAATCAATGAGAACTATCGATATTCTCTACATAAAAACAAAGCTCCTATATAAAGATAGGAGGCAAAACTATGCATATATGTTTGTTCTTCGATCATGCCTAACATGTGTGTCTGTTTAAAAGGACAAAAATATACCAATCAAAATGGTTGAAAGAATCTGGGACAAAACGACGATATCCAACCAGAGAAAGTGAAAACAGACAACATTTAGGTCATTTAAATCCACGTTCTCAAAATATCATCCGATAGCATAGGATAAATAAAAAATGAATGAGAGCAATGCCTGATAATTTTTACAGAGTAATGAGAAATTTTTAACTCCCTGGGAAATTTTTTAATGTGTCGTGTGAAGTTACAATGAAGAAAAACAATGTCGGTGTATTTTCTTTAAGATTTCTATCATAAATTAGTGTCCTGAAAAATAACAGACGTAATAATTCAGAGAAAACGCCTAATCCACAAATAATATTCAGAAAAGTAATTTAAATTCTTTATTATTGTAATAACAGAAGACAAGGGCTTGGCAACAGATCATTTTATTACGGAAATCAACACGTATTTATATAAATTTCACATACATTATTATAGCCTAGTCAAGTAGACAAACGCAGTCTTCTGATTGGTTGTTTTCGAGTTCCTCGGAAAGTGGAGCCATCTATCTGCAAATCATATTTGCCCACGTTTAAGTTTGCTGTGATTGGTTGTTGAAACAGGCTTGTTCATATTCTCTCACGGCCCATATTAGTGACCTAGACATTGACGTAGATTAATGTCAACCAATTGGCTAGCAGTTTGCTCTCACCACATTATGGACACCAAATGAAAAAGCACTGGAAGCAATGAACACTGACTAAAATTATAGAGACCACTAACTCGTCAGCTGTGTTTAGCGTGACAAACACACACACACAATCCTGGAAACTGTAGAGGAGTTACAAAAAACGAACGACCTACCAAATACTGAAAGATCTGCGATGTTTTCAATATTCGAGCGGTAACTAAACCAATTTGTATGCATGAATTTGGCAAGTAGCCGTATGTCATATAATTTCGGGATTCGTCTACTGCTCACAATACCTTTTTCAAATATTCCCGATGTCGCTCACCTCCTATAAACGGGTTTTGGACCGACTAGAAAACTAGTGAACTAGGCGAGGTTAATTTCTCATATTAAGTTTGAGAGCTTTTCTTACATGTCTTATTTGCTGTCTTAGATTTTTCCGGCACTACTTAAGTTTTTTCTGCTATATTACTCAATCTTTTCACTAATCCTGTTTTTATTGACATAAAATGGGATAAACAGAAGTTCATATATCGGTTTGAATGTGTAGGTTTTCTGGAAACACTAACATTTAACTTCCCATCTTCTCACCTTTGCATGATAGAATCTAACATTACAGGCTCCCCTATATGACTTTCAAATTCATAAGTGAATCGAATTGCCTCTATCTTTGAGTTGATGTGTTGGAAAAAGCCACTTATACCCTGTATTTTAGCACTGTCAATTTTTCATCCACGTACCTCTACCACACTTCAGGCATGGAGCTGAACTTTTCAACCGCCAAGTTTTCCCACCTATTCATAAGTATATCCTGCCACTGTCGGAGAAATTTGTGGCTCCATGGCAACTATTTCACTTTGTTTGTATCTTTTTCCTTGAAATCCAAACACTGAAGAAGTTATACATGGCTGTACTTCTAGTATGATGTCTACTAGTTGTACTTTGGTTTTAAGTCACTCCTAACTGCCTCTATAGCCAAATTCATCGGTATTTTTATTTACAGACTGTTGATGTCCGAAATAACCAATTTTTCTTGAATATCTAGTTTCAAATTATCTAATATATGTTTTAGTTTATAAGAATAATTGAGTCCATATTTTGGGTGATTTCTAATTGAATTTAATGCCATAGGTAAATGTTTAAATTGTTCATAAGTAAGAGAATTTCTAAAATCAACTATACACGTCTAGTGGAATATCATGATATATGAACTTTGACGACGCCCTACATGCTATTGCGATTATTAGTTTTTGGCACCAAATTAAACCAACAGACTCACCCAGAAACGTCTTAATTCGGCGGATAGGATCAGATGTGGATTTCTTAGCTTTATTCATGACAGTATCTATTGACTTCCTAATTTCTTCATACAGTCCTGTTTGTATGTGATCATGAAACTTCTCCACATAGTTCGAATTATTTACTCCTACTTTCGAATATCCTTTTTCTCATCATCACCATCGAATACAGACTGGTGTGAATGACAGTCAGATCTCGATCTCAATTCCATCAACTTTAAAAAGTCTTCAACGGCCTTGACTTTGAAGAAATTTAGAAATGGCTTCAGGATTATGCAGTGAGTAAACTAAACTTTTGTCAGCCTCCTTCAACAGCTATATGATGATGCCACATGTCGAGTGATTCACAACGGAAATCTCAGCTCGGCGAAGCCTTTCAGGTGGGGATAGGAGCAAGACAGGGCTGCATACTATCACCAGTGGTACTCCCGATTGTGGTGGACTCGATTATGCTGAGTACCATAAGTGGGGAGTAAAAACACAGGCATACCTTCGACCCATAAGAAGACTCCGGAAGATTAAGACTTCGTCGATGGTTTTTGTCGAGTGTCACAAAAACTCGAAGATGTGAAGGCAGAGACCAGCAAATTGACAGAAGACGCAGCAGCAAAGACAGGAATTCAAGTGAATATAGAGAAGACACAAGTGAAGGAGATAGCCACCACCACCACCTACAACAACAACAGGCAGTACTGTCAACGAGAGAAATTTGACGGTCACCATTCCCACTTATTTATCTGGACAGCACCTATTCAACTACAGGCAGGATGGATACGAATATCAGAGTCAGAATCAGAAAAGCGAAACAGACCTTTATTAATCCATTTGAAATCAGCATGGAAATACAATGCCAGAAAAGATTGGCGAAAGTGAAGTTACGAAGATCCTATTTCCCAATAAACATTTCGAAGGAAATGGAAATGGATCGAACAGACGTTGAGGAGACTGTTGACTGATATGACACTCCAGGCCGTCGAGTCGGAAACGACGAGTGAGCCGTCCGAGGGTGACATGGAGGAGATTGTGTAAGGAGGGAATGAGAGCTTGTGGGAAGGCGTGAAGCCAGTCAAAAGTGACACTGAAACCCGCAAACACACCTAAAACCAAAGTATATCGGTTAAAGAATACTGTGAAGCCCATTCGACGTAGTTAGTTTACCTAATATCCTGCAGTCATTGTGAGGTCAAAGGCATACGCTAAAGTGATAGTATGTGGTCAGATTAGCGGAGCACGAAAACTTATCAAGATCTAGATTATTTGATTCTAAGAAGATAAGAAACCTAGAAAATGGCAGATATATAGCACTATACAACCATACAATAGGATAAGTCTTAAAATTTAATATAAACAGGGTGGAGGGAGAGATTGATAACGGAAGATTTATTTGACGAATAAACTGAGAATATGTGCAGTAGGAATGATTCAACGCCTATCCCAGATATTTGGAAAATCCCACTACCTCAACAGAGAATGAGATGGGAGAAAAAGATAGATAACGTTTGAAGAATGAGATGGTGTTTTTTTACATACTTGAAAAAGGTTTCAGTTATTTACCACACTATGAAGTTGGGTTACTATGATAAACTTTTCTGTTAGAAGTAAAACATCTTTGATCTTCGTAACCAATTCACCTGACTAGTATACGAAATTGATTATTGATTTCATTAAATGACCATGGATCACTGCATAAAACGAATTAATACTTGCCATTTCAATGTTACTGCATTTTAATGAGCGGTGGTGTTACCGTATACCGACTAAGTAATGGTAACAACAGGAAATTACAAGGGCATTTAAAATATAAATTCATCTCTTTCCAAATGATGGAAAATTAGTTTTCAAGTATTGGTTTGTAAGGATTTATTTGATGGATTGGTTACAGGATTTTATCATGAGCTGACATCAGTTAGAGAATCACTGGAAAACCAGCTGGGAGTACTGGACAGCTGTTTAGTTCTCGTTTAGGACTCTTAATCAGTACACAGTATTCGGCAAAGACATTGGCTAGTGGTTGCGCTATGTAGCGAATTGACAGAAGTTGGAATTCATAGACTGGCCAGTGGATCGGATCCCAGTGGCTTAATGGTCCACGAGCTCAGTAGCCTCGTTAGCAGAAGGTCCTTGGTTCGAACCCGATGTGGCGGGTGCGTACTGATGAAGAGACCCAAACTAGGACGAAACATCTGCTCAGTACTCCCAGCTGGTTATCTAATGGTTTTATAACCGATGTCAGCTCATGATGAAATCCTGTAGCCGAAAAATGAAACGACCCACTAAAAACACATCGCCGAATAAATACTCACAACTTTCCAGGTCTATTTATCTTCCCTGACCGTTCAACAGCGTTGCGTGATCTACCCTTGATGGGCAAGCACTGCAAGCAGGATGTACGGGGAAAGCTCAAGTGTTCCTACTAATAACTGTAAGTGATTGTTTATGCGATATAACAACTGAGATATAATACAAACACAATCACTAGAAACCTTGGTTTGCAAGTTTTTGTAACACAAAAATGATACTGTACGCGATATTGAATATTCAGGTTACGGATATTGCTAGGTTGAGGATCATTTTGAAATTTAATTGTTATGACCATCAAGTAAGATCAGGTCACAAAGTATGCATTCTTGAAATACATGAAGAAATCACAAAATGTACCACATCACTTACTGTAAAGGTAGAAGTAATCCATGTAATAGCGAATCATTCGTCGAATGTTGGAGTCCGAACCATCACCGTACATTGAACTAACCTCTGCGCTCAACGGATTGTCATTCAAGTCTAAATTTAAATAATGTACAAGATCACACTACTATTAAAACACAAGCTTCATACATCATCAGCAATGAGAGATGCACCACATAAAGTCTTACAGTTTTAGCAACGGCCAGGATACCACCCAGACATCCAGACTGAAGCTAATGGTTGTCTTAAGCGGCCACCTCCTGCTCGAGCCCTCAACTAGAAGTCTGATCCACAAGGCAGTGTGACGGCGTCAGGAGCTAAGTTCCGTGGTTGCCAGTGACCAAAACAGGCTCATACACCA